TAATGCCCAGCCATCTTTAAAATGACTGTGAACAGAATCACAAAAATTCTCCAGACTCCCCACTCCTTTCTTAATTTTCTCCTTATTTTTTTTTAATTGCTTTTCTTAATTTTTCATTATTCTAGATGCAACTGACGTACATACATCAGTTTCTTAATTTCCAATGGTTACGAGTCCCTTTATGTTAAGGGTTCACATCTTCCATCTTCTTACAGAATGCTCCTGATATCTGTAACATCAGAAACGAGGAGGGTTTTGGTTTGGTTTTAAGAAATTAGATTCTTAAGATATTTTATTCTGATTCTTCTAAAGAAAGCTTAGAAGGGCTTTCCAGCTTAGTCCCAGAATAAGGCAAAAGTTCTTGTTCCAAAACCTTTATTTTGTGAGGAACTACAGTAACATTTTATATTCATTTTAGAAATAGACTGAGGACTGTGACAAGATCACTACTTACAGTCACTGTATTGTCATCTTAAATTATATTGCTTTCCATTAAATTGTTCGTTATTACAAGATTCATATCAGACAGCTTAGTATGTGAAATCGTCCAATACAAATTCAGTTTTTATGAGCCTCAAGTCTGAAATTTGTTTCTGAATGAAAATAAAAACAGTGATAAACCAATTCCTACAAGTTATACTACTGTAAGTTAAATGCAGTACTAAAATTAAGCACAACGGCCTCATGCACTCAAGTTTCTTTTCTGAGCACAAATTTAAATTACTAGCTTTATCCTTAGCAGGTATGCAAATATGCTTTTCCATTCACATTTGGAAAAAAGTGAGACTAATTAGTATCAATAGACAAATCTGAAAGGTAGTGTTAAGTCATTTTTCACCAGAACTCATTTATAACCACTTTGAAGGTGCTTACAAGAAGAGAGCATTTTGCTGTATTAGTCAAACATTTGTTAGTCTCTGCTTGTTACATATGAACTACTGTGTTGCTAATACCATGGTTCATCACAAAAGGAGTAATATATAAAAACAGTTTACTTCTCATCTTGTCCATTTTCTACAGTAAAGCCATAATTATTTCACTCTGATTTATTATAAGTACAGAATTGGACATTATAGAAGGCAATTGGTGGCAATTTGGCAAGGCAATTTGGCTATATCTAGCCAAGTAACAACTTCACAGTAAGTTCACAGTTTCTAAATAAAGCAAAAAATGCACTTATTACAAAGAACAGTAGTAGAAAATTCTTGCCTTTACAAAAAAAAATAACGACACTGAACAATCTAGTGCATCTCCTGACCTATGCATGCAGCAATTTAACCAGCAGTGAAAGTATGCAAGTTTTCCTACAAATCAAACAATAAACCTTAAGCTAGGAGGATGACAAGAGTTCTTGCCACTGAACTCATTTACAGACAGCCTCCGGTATCTTTTTGTGCTCTGATTCAAGAATAGAAGTTTACTGACTAATTAAATAGAAATTGACACAGTGGGCTAAACTGTCAATTTAAATCTAATACCCGCCAGCTGCCGGGCAGTGTTCCAGATACAATGATACAAGTGACAATCCAGGTCCAGCAAGGCAGCCAGGTCAAAAGAAATTTATTCAGAACAGACTCCTTCATGTTTCAGATTATTTCACCCTTTCTCATTAGATGACACCTTACCTTTACAGAATACGGGACGGACACTATTTTTGCAGCTGTATAATCTCTTCAGGGTTATATAAATTCTAGGTAATTTCAGTAGAAATTTAATCAACATTGTGGCTGTTGAGGCTTGGTATTATACGATGTATACCTTAAGACTGCAGAACTGCTTTGATTTTAAACCATGTTTTCCCTTCAACATTTAAGTCATCTTATTCTCCCCTTCTAAAACTACATTAAAAAAAACCCAAAACAACAAACAAAAAAAACCCAACCAAACAAAACAGAACTGAGCATAGAAAAGAAAACCCAACAAACTTTTCCTATTTCACTAGAAATTTAACTCCTACATATGTAAAGGATATTTATTTTCTTGCTATTCCTTCTCCCTTTCCCTTCTTCTAATTTTTGCACTTATGAACAGCCCAAGTAACTCAAACTTTCAAGAGTTGAGCGAAAGGTAACAAAACAACTTAGTTTTCACTGCTGTTTAGCATAAGGATTAATTTTCCATTACCTTTCTCCTTAAATGCTTGCATCTCATCTGCACGGTACTCCAGTCAGAAAAAGCTGCCTTTGCCATTTGAAGAGGCAGAATACCAAGTGTAACCTTGTGCTGACATATGCAATTAGCCCAAGGTCAGTCAAGGACAGGGAAACAGCAGAAAGTAACAACCCGAGAGGAATTATATAAAGCTAATGGAAGGTGGACCTTTAACTACTTAAGAGTGAAATTTTTTTTTGATTGTTACATTAAGTCTTGTTTCTGATGTACCTGCCTTCTTTAAACTTAAAAAAATCCATCTTTCCTAATTAATTTTTTTTTTCTAAATGTACCTTGAACTACCCATCTGTTACATCCCACAAAGGACAAATGCCACTTTCAGGGATCCCTCCAAACCTTTTGTTCGAGTGTGAAGCAGCCAGTCATTAAACACTGATGATGCAAGCTTCTTCATGGCTGAGATGCAGCACCTGGCACTTTCAAGTGCCACCTCAAAACTGAAATACACACTTCCTGAAGGTGCTCTGCAGATCACCAGCTGCCCACGAAGACTCTAGCTACGTACATTTGAATGTGTGACCATTCTAATTTTTAAAAATGTGTTCTAGAACTTGACACAGTGCTTTGAAAGTTTCTCTGAAAACCTGACACGGAGGAAAAACACAGGAAAGCATCATATTTACAAAGCACTTTTGGAAAAACAGAAATGTCAAGTGAATCAGCAGGATAGTGTGTTTCATTAAACTTCACCCAAGCAGATTTTCTGTTGTTAAATGCTTCTAACAGAATTTTGGCACTGAGCTGAATCTCTTAATCTGGTCAAGATGACACAAAAATTTTGTGCCAAGATTATTAGGTTAGGATATTGCGTGATTCGTTTGAGGATCCAACTTCTGCCTACCTTTTAGGCACTTAGTAAAAGGAGCTCTGCTAAAATAAGCCTGTCCAGAGATGCGTCAGTGTCTTGTGATGCTTATGCCTAAGTTAAATCTAAATTAAAAGGGTCATTTCAAGAACTCCAACTGTCTATATAGGATTAAGCACATAATCTCAGTTATCCACACAAAATGATTAGAGTACACAAACCCTTTCTTCATCAGAATGATAAACTCATACATTGACAAATGCTTAGAAATAGAACTTTGATGATTCTGTGAAAAAGTTCAGGTGCTTAAACTTCCCACGACTGTAGTGTCTAAATTAACAGACTTTCAACAGGGTCCATCAGAAAACAAATCAGAAGTTCTGTGCAAGACTACCAAGTACATGTCACTGAGTAACAATACGGTCTTTCCTTCTCATTCAGCTACAAGTTTTGTTACAGCCCTCTCCCTTCCATCACCAAAAGCAGAGATTTAGTTTAAATTTTCTTCCAAAACTAAGTTCATGATGCAGAGGACAGCCTCCTCTTATTTGGCTGTAGCAAGCCTATCACAAGAGCAGCAGTGGCATTTACCTCAACACAGGTCTTAACTACTATTCTAGTTAGCATACAGAGTTTTGGTAATCAATCTTCAATTTTTAAGTAGATAGAGGCTTGGCTTCTTTTCTGTTTTAATTAAAAAAGGCAACTGGAGATTTCTTCCCAAAGAATAAATAGAATGCTAGGTCAGGCAACAGTAATTTATTTATTGACTTAAACAAGCAATAGGTATCCTCAGACATAATGGCCACCACTTGAACAATACAAATCAATGCTACTGAAGAACAGGGAACATCTTTTCTCTCACCCCTCCCATCCCAGAAGTAACAATAGAAATACCAGGGCCCCTAGAGAAAAGAGAAGGAGAAAAATTATAAAACACGCTTAGAATGAGCTGGAGAGTTGAAACATGGACGCTAAAAAAAAAAAAAAATCATTAGCTAATCCACCATATCACCACAATCACCTCAAAAATAACTTTCATTGTTCCGTTTCTACCAGGTACCAAATATATAGTGCTGTTTAACAGCAATTTCAATGTTTTAACAACTGTCCTCAGCTGAAGCAGAACAGCAATTACTATTTATATTAAATTTGAGGCAGGCTGCAGATAGGAAGAAAGGTTTCCACAGAGTATGATGCAAGTCTTCTCTAGTTAATGAAAAGAGAGTAGGGGAGAAAAAAAAACTACTTTTAAGTTACTGTACATCTCCATCAATCAAGCAATTCATTCTGTATTGAGAGGTCATTACAGACACAAGATGCTGATAGAGTATGGCAACTCTACTCACCCTGTGACAGCATATCTGAAGAACGTATCTGTAAGTCCCTTAAGTTGTGGGCCACTGAAAATCCCAGCCTGCTACTCCTGTGCGGGTATTTTTCAATCAGGCATCGGCAAAAAGGCAAAGACTGCATGCAAAACAATTGTTGCTAAATCATTTAGTCGTCCTTGTAACAGCTGAAAGCAGGAGTAAGGCATCCCTCAGATTTAGAGAAAACATTAGGAGGCTGTAGTTTTGCAGGCAAGGAGACCTTTTATTTTAACCCATTAAAAGAACCCAAAATAGTCAGCAGGTGGCCACATCTATCCATGTTTCATTAAAATCACATAAACCCTAAGTACAAAAGCACCACTGATTATTGCTCTAGAAAAACTGCATGAAAAATTCAAATACGCACAGTAAAAACATCACCATATGCACAAGACTTAATTTCTTAAAGCAAGTGTATGGAATGGTGATCCAATCTTACACATACCTTGCAATATTAAGTTGATATTTCTATTACTTGGCAACAATGGGAATTCCTAAAAGCACTGTTATGAGAAGGGAAACGTTCATATACAGTTTAATATGTCAACTATCATAGTCCTAAAAAAATTAGCATTTACAAAATACTTGATAAAAATATCTTTTAAAAGTTGTCCAAGAGGTACATAAAATCAACCCAAAATTTTCATATTTCATTCATTCTTGTCACCTACAGATTCAGTTTTCTGAGCCTGTGGAGAAGAAAGAAAGAAATGAATCACTATAGTAAATTGCCATTACATACCTAAATACCCAAACTACCCTTACTCCTTCGACTTCTTATTTGCAACAGCTCAGTTTCAAACCTATGTCCATATTACAAATACAGCAACAAAACAGGTACATTCACACACTTTTCTTCCATTTGTCCCAGCTTTTCAAAAGCAATAGGAGCCTTACCTGTCAGCTTCCATTGTTCATACTGAAAAGCACCACACTACTATCTGTTTCTATTCACTGCACACATGCTGAATGCTCTACCGTACCCTTAACTTTCACTGTTTCAATCTGCCCTTTTACTGACAGTGTGCTGGCTGGGGCACCTCTGGATGTTGAAACACTAACAGCTGAGCGAGAGATGCGAATCTGCAATAACATTATGGGCAATAAAAAGAAACATTATGAACATGCTATCAATGTCTGAAAGGCTGAATAATTAAAAAACACTGATTCAATCAGCAGGAGGTATGTTTGGAAAGTACCTCTTCAGCTTTATTTTCACCATTTTCAGATGGTGTAGTACCTTCCTTTGCAGCTTCTTGCTTTTCATCCTTCTTCCCTTTAGCACCTTTGTTGGCCTTTGTTCCAGGTTCCTTCTGACAGAAGATTAAAAACATGGGCATAGACATCGTATTAGCAACCAGCACCCTACATCTTTATCAAAAAACCTTTGCATGAACTAAAAAGCAAATCTTGGCAAGCTGCATGAGCTAGACTGGAGCAGAAAGCCAGCTAAAGACTATCTGGAAAATTTATATCCAAAACAGTTATATGGAGACTTCCAAAATTTCTAGAAAATGCTGATGTCTGCTTCTTTGTTGTTTCTACTAATTTACAGGGATACAAAAACCCCTCAAACTATCTTGGTACAACTGAGCTGTACATACAGAGGTACATACAAGGTATCTGTATGAACAAACCCAATTACAGTATACTGAAAGCTTATTCAGCCAAGCACAAACAACACACTGCTTGTGTAACAGCACTACACATTCGATTAATATGAAATATTAAATTAGATTTTAAAAATTAAGCATTTTTGTTGGCTGTCCTTTTGTTAGTTTGATAACATCTGTGATGTTCATTCCATGTCAATGAAAGAACCAACCAACACACTAGGGAGGCAAACACTGATAAAATTCCATCTGCAGCCACACAAAGCAGAGAATTTATCAAAAGGAACTATTCTAGCAGCTACAGTTTCATTTGGAGATTTGCTCTTAAACAAACAATTCGTATGTTGACGTCTAGTGCTTTTTAATCCTTACTCTATGTACATATTTATATTTGTGATCTAAGGCTAGTAGAGACATAGGTTAAGGATTTTAAGGGCAATGGGATAAAAATTGAAATGATAATTCACTGAACGTTTCACATTAGTATATAAAGTAGTTCCAATAAACACTGTGGAGATCTTCCATGTGACCATTTGCTCCAGATTCTCCATGCAAAATGTCAACAGTAGCTGTGAACAGGGATATTAAGGTCAGCCTCCCTTCATTAACTACCCTTCCCCAGCAATCTCCATACAGGAGTTGGGTGGTAAGAAGTGAGTGCCAGTAACCCTAGTTCCAGGGCAGCCTGAATTACTCCTTTCACCCTTCAGCCTTACACACTGAGAAGCTTCTTGGTGCTGTGAGTACAGGCCTAACTCTTCACCTACAAAAACACGAGCTAAGGGCTTGACTTAGTAAATCTGTAATTTGCAAGCTTTTACCACTAAAAGTGATCTCAAATTTGTACCATCTTCAGTTGCTTACTAGCAGGCTCAGAGTACACATTTGCTGATTTCTGTTTAGGAGACCAAGATCAATATACTCCTTAAAATGTGATCCAGACAGAGTTTGGAAAAAAGCAGATTACTGTATTAAAGAAGTTACTTAGAGTAATGTTGTAAAGGATTTGAGTCGCCTAAAATGAGCTTCATATGTCTCTCATGCAGCTTAGACTGACTCCGTAACACCAAGCTCATCTCACAACATGTACATGAAGAAGCTGCAGAAGCCACCATATTCCCCTCTTCATTAATACTCTTTTTAAGAAGGGAGCAGGATGGACTCAGCAAGACTTTATTGATAATTTCATTTGATAAATCATGAAGTGTTAAAAGTCAGAGTTTTACTTTCACACATGGACTTTGTATCCTGATACTTGCCCAAATGAGATACTAACAAAAAGAATTGAAATAATATAAGTGTGAGGAGTGCTAGACTCAGTTTCCAGTATGGTTTTGGGTTTTTTTTTCCGATAAAGCAATTGCTCTTACTTAACATTCCCCTTGGGCACAAATAAATCTACAGTTTCTGAAGTACACGGTTTATATGCAGAAATCCTGAAAAGATCTTTCAGACACTAATAAGATTTTAATTTGACTGTAACTGGCCTAGAAACCCCAAACCATTCAATTTAAATATATTGAATTTCACCTTTAATTATAATTGTGCATTCTCAGCAACAGCCAGGCTTCAAGAACAGATAAGAGTTTCTCACTATGAAATTAAGTACTGCCCCTCTAGACAAGGAAACGGAACAGCACAGAGTAATCTCAAATCCTATTGTAGAAATTGCTAGGTCTTGGGTACAGCTTAATCAACCAAACCTGTACATTTCAGGAAAAGCGTAGGAAAGGTAAAGATTCTTCTTAAACTAGGAATTCACTACAAACTAACATGCTTTGCATATCAAACAGGCAAGACATTTTGTTTGGGCCAGTAAGGAGGCCAGGAAGGGGTGGAACAGAAAGAAAAGAATGATCTAATTTGTTTTTTTTTCTCCCGGAGTGGGGGGGACGTGGGGGGTGGCAGGGAGCTTCGGGGAGAGCAGGGGAGCCGATGCCTCACAAAACCACCATGAATTAGAACTGTTTGCAATGCAAAGGAGGAGTATATTTGCTTACTATTGGTTGCAATGATGACAACTAAAAAGAAGAGTATTTACCTTCGTGGTTTTCCTTGGTTTGGGTTCAGGTTTTGGTGGAGCAGGTTTCTATAAAACATTTTCAGTTGCGCAATGTGTTAGACACAGTACCAGAAGGCAGCCAGCCACCTCCACCCCACGCCTTCCCTTACTTCCTGCTCATTAGTATGTATCTAGAAAAACACTGAAAAACCTTAACACACAAATGCACCTTATCACTGTACACACTCCTTTTCACTAGCTCATTCATCTAGCGGCCAAAGCAATTTGGAGGTCATTCTAAGAGTAAAATGGTGGAGATTAGTAGTAACTATTAAAAAAAAAAAAAAAGAAGATACATTCTAACAGAGAAGACAAACTAAAACCAAATACTAGTGGTGGCATCAAATGAAGTCCTTGAAGGACAGCTCTTTCTTCTTCCCAGACAAGTAGTTGTGTTTCCACAACTAAGATCAGCCTGCAAAACGATACGAAGTCAATACTGCACATAACAAGACAGTGTTGCACTGAAGTGGGGAAATACAACTTTTGTTAGAATAACCTGAAACCTGAAAACTTGAAACCAAGAAAACACAGATAACTTTAGATCTAGAGTTCTTAAATATGCCTTGGTAAGAATAAAAATTGAATCAAGCAAAATATAACACGTAAAATATGAATACAACCCATTTGGTCTGAGAAACCATATGCCTAGAAAAGTATATACCAAGAGGTGTTATACATACTTACAGCTGACAATCTTGCTGATCGTCTTGTGGGCTACAGAAAAAGAAAAAGAAAAAAAGAGAGAAAATATTTGTATAGGCTTACAGCAAACAGTATCCAAAGCAACATAATATCAGTCATCTCATGGTGACAGCATAAAATATGCCCCAAGCAAAATACGTCTCTGTTGCCGAACACAATTCACATCTTCCTCACCTTGGACGACCTAAATTTTAAAGAGACAAAGTGATGTGAAAATTAGTAGTAAAAATTGTTCAGGAATTACGACGTCTAAATCTCCATATGGCTAAATACTTCCCCCTCCCTATTTTACAAGTACTTCTGAGTCCCTTGCTGCTCTATGAAAGGTTCACAAATACAGCAAGCTTGACACTGGCACAAGACACTGAACCCTTCTCATAAATACATAGAATTATGTTTCTATAATCTAGCAGATGCTACTTGTAATAGCAGGTAAAAATACCATCTGATTAACAGCAGAATAAAGTTAACATCCTTCCCTAGAGGATATCAGAGTGCTAAAATTTCAAAACACGAAACTAGATCCTTCCACTTCCTCAGTTCCCCACATGCTCCATCTGAGAGTCCAGGTGCACAAAGACAGCTGCAGCATGAGAGGGAGAACTTATTTCTTCAATTTAAACATAATTCTCAAAAGGAAAGAAGAAAGTCAGATATTTTGCTTTCCTCCACCTTTCTTTATCACTTCAACACGCATTCCTTATTGAATTTTACTTCACTGTTCTTTGTCATAAATTTGTTACTGAAGATGAGTTAAGTCTTAGAAATAGTTGTAAACTTATTAGTTTGTTCACAATATTTTTGAATGCATTAAAACAGATGAAGCCATGATAGATGTCACACAGCATGGTTATCAAACAGAGTTGAAGTCTGGTCTATGCCATAAAACTAGAATCACACTTGTAGCCAAAATAAAGGGACAATTAAATCGCAACAAATATCCAATGTAACAGAGCTTAAAAAGTGAATCAAAAATATCTTCTTAATTACATTAGGCATTTAAGTTTGAGCTGAAAAAATATGGCTCCACACATCTTACAACAGGAAAGAGCTGTTGTTAATATCTGAAAAATGCAGTAATTGGCATTCATTGGAGCCACGTAAGTATTCTTACTGGAAAGCAGCAGTGAATAGCTCAGATCTGCATCCAGCAAAATAGAAGTCTTGTCAAAAAACACCTACAGATATTTTCAGCTATCAAATATTTATGCATCATTAGCAACAACAAAAAAGTAAGCTTCTCTTTCCTTGGCAATTCAGAGTATCAACTGCTTGTTAAGCAGCCCAACATTATTTTACAACAGGTTAAATGAAGCATTTCACTTGGTCAGGTAAGCAAAGAACTCCCACCTCAAGGCATCTTCTTTCACAAATCAATTTTCTTAACTGATGATTTCTGTCTCTCAGCATTTGGGCATTGGAATGTTACGTTAGCATCTACTCTTTAAAGGATAATATACTGGTTTAGATAAATTATAATTCTCTCCCATATTCCTCAACGGTTCCTGTTCCATGACTGGTTTCATAGGCAGCTTGTATTGCCATAAAGTCGGCATAAACCCTCGCTTCTTTAAAAATGCCTGACAGGCAAGTAATTTTACAGAGTTTGTAGGTATATCGTGTTATCTGATTATAAGGAGGGAACTGCAGACAAGTCAGCAAAGGTCATATTTAATGTGCTTTTGGAACCCTTGTCGCTCTCCAAACAGCTGTACTAAGCCAGGAACTAGCAGCTCATCCAACAGTCTATTTGACACTGGCCCACTAGCGAATACCTACGGAAAGAGTCTATGAAACGGAGCAGACACAGAACAACACTTCGCACTTTCCTACTGTGCCAGCTTCTGGTAATCTACAGTTGTGAACCTTCCAACCTGGATATTATATCCACATCATGTGTTTAATAGTCTGCAAGGGTCATTTTCTCCATAAATTTGCCTAACAACCTAGTGAACCTGTTTATACCTTCGGTTTCCATAACATCCTCTGGCATTAAGTTCCATAATAGGATTATGCACTGTGTGGAAAAGAAAAAGCTAAACCTAAACCTTCCCCCTCTGTTGTCCTTCCTTTAAACCTCTTGCCTCTTACTTTCACTAGATTCCTCTTGTTTTCGGGTTATATAATTCCCTAACCGCCTTTCTCTGTGTTACTGACGATTTTATGACACTTCTGTTATATAAAAAGTCAAGAATCCTAGAAAATCTGGGCTGTGGTTTGTTGGATTTTTTCTAATCAAGCTGCTCTGCATTCTCTGTTTGTCCCACTATACTTGGTATACTTTTCATTCTATCATGGCCTTTCTAAGGAAGAGTCAGGACAACTTCATTTAGTAGTCTCACATCTGGGAACACAAATTAATCTTGTGATACACTGATGTTTCACACTCTATCCTCTAGTATTTTTTCCTATATTCTAGTTACCTCCCCTCCCCTTGTGTATTCATTTGCATTTCTCCATATTGAATTTCTATTGATATTTTATCACCTAGTTATCAGTAACGTAACAGCCTTCTCAGTCGCTCTCGCTTCTGACTACCCTGATAATTCTTTGTAAGCTTCAGCAAACTTTATCATTTCTCCAGCACTCCTTCTCCTAAATCATTAATGAATATCTTCAGCAGCACAAGCCCAAACACAAATCCTTCCAATACTCCATTGGTAACTCTCCTCCATTATGAAAATTAACTACTTCTTCCCTCCTCTCTTCTCATATCTTTATCTGTTGCCAATTCTTAGGAAGATCTTTCGTTTAATCCATGCTAGCTTAGTTTCTTTAAGAACCTGCTTGGGGATCCTTATCCAAGTGTTCTTTACATGCAAATAAACTATACCAAGCAGCATGCTATCATCTTTGTACCTGTTGACCTCTACAAAGAACTCGACTGCCTGAAGAGTGATTTCTTTCTGCAAAATTCTTGTCAACTCTCCCATTATACATTTGTCCACATACACTTTTTTTAAAAAACTACTTTTGCAAGTTAGACTCACAGGTTTTATTTTCCAGAATCCCTTATCTAATGTCCTGGGAGCATTTCATCACTTTCAGTTACTCTGGTACTGAGGCCAAGGCAAGCAGTAAATTACATACTGCACTTAACAGTTTGGCAATTGCTGGGGAGTACTGTCTAGCTCTTGCTCACACTCAATTAAAGAATGTCCTCCAACCCTACACCCATGAGAAATGGCTCCACTGTAAGAACCTCCCAAAGAATTCTCCATAGCAGAAGTTTCATTATTGGTTTTCAGCTTCACATTTGCCATGCTGGAGGCAGGGTTTGCTCTTTTCCTCATTATTTTCCATCAATACAAAAAACATCTTTCCAAAACAATAAATTTCCCTTATTTTTCTATTAAGCCATCCTGGGTTTTTGAGGTGGAGCAGGGGCTTTTGAAAAATAATACGCATTTCTGCAAGGCTCTAGCATGGCACACCACAAAGCCTCTCTGCCACCTGAAATCATTAAACTTTTTAGCTGCTCTTTTTAATAGGCTTTCGTTTTTAATAAAATTCCCTTTCTTGATATCAAACCTTACCATAGAAGAGTTCATTTGCACTTGCATTCTTGCAAGGATGATGAACCTGAATATATCATGGTCATAACTACAGAATAGTTCTCTGACAAGTGTCTTTTTAACTAGCTCCTACAAACTACTGAGGACCAAATGAAGAGCTGATTATCCTTTTATTGGTTCTTTGATTTGTTCCACCAGGAAGCAACCATTTATAGTTTCAACTGTTTTGTCTTTGTAATGCCATTCTGTGCCTTTTCCCAAATATCTGAAGGGTAACTGAAATCTCCATCTGACTGCTACTGTCCTCAGAGCCTCTCTGATCTCCCTTAACATCCTATTGCCACTTTTATTGTTGTGGTCAGATGATACCTGACAATTTCTACACTATATACTTCCCATTTACACGTCTTAGCAATCCATAAAGGATTCTGCTGTTCTTATTGATACAATTAATCTAGAGAAACTTAAAGACACTTAACAGAAAGCCATTCTGCCACTAACGCAACTTAGCTCTCAATACTGTATAACTTGTGCCTTGGTGTCACGGTGTCCCAACAAGTTTCTGAGTTGCCCATTATATCAATGCCCTCATTTAAGGCCAGATAGTCCAAGTTGCCCAGACTTAGATTTGCAGCTTTTGTATTTTGGTTTGACTGCATGTTTTCATAGGCATGAATTAAACAGGGCTTTATTTCTTAAGATTACCTGTTCAGATGCAAACTTTTATAGCTTCTGTGCTAGCCCTCACTCTCCACCTCGATATGGAGCTCTGACTTCACCTTAGGTGCTCTCAAGAACTGGCCAGACTCCTCTCAGATGTTTAGTTTAAAATAATTCAGGAGATCTTCTCAGTGCCATTCATATAGGTCTCTCTTGGTTCGGACTGAAGCCATGTTCCCTGTGTAAATTCTACCTACTCCAAGAGCTCCCACAGTTTCTAATCTAATCCTACAAGATTAGCTCCTACAGTCCACACTAAGAGCTACAGGTGTATCTACTGAGACTATCTTGATTTGTTTGGTTTGTTGGTTTCGAGGTTTTTTTTAATTTCTGTAGCAACAGCCACTATCATCTCACCTTGACCAAAGCCTACTCTAAGAGCTCTCATATTTCAGAGTCAGCTCAAGAGAGCCTGTGTATTTCTGTAAGCTTTTCAGTCTTTATTCTAGCAGTCTGGTCTCAAATTTTTAGGGGAAGGAACTTTCACTTTTCTGGCTCTTGGAGGAGGAATATCTAAACTTGGACAGAGAAAAACATTCACTAGAGCAAAGGAGATGATATTTTTACTACAACTTAGTCAGCCTTTTCATACTTTATGAAAAATAAACTAATTTATCTTCTAGGATTGGAAGATACTCAGGTATCAAAATCTATTCCTCTCAGAGCTCCTTTTTAGTCCCCCTGTTTTTTTCAGGGGATTACTGTAAACATTACTATTGTTTGAAATATTTTGACATTTCCACTGTACCATCTTTTTCTGCTGGACTGAGCAACGACCAGCTTCTCAATTCAGGAAGTGTAAAACTTCATTAGTCTATTTTTCCTGTTCAAATATGCTCAAAGATCTACAAGAAGAACAATTTATTGTTAATTCATTTGAATATTCACCTTTTCTTTTCAAGGTCCTGATTTAACTTTGTCTGCCACAAAAGATGACAACCTAAGAAAATTAATCCTTATAATTCTCTACCTGTTTTTTAAATTCACATTAAGTGCTGTGACAAACAAACTAGCAAACTTTACTGTAAAGGTCAAGGTATCACTGGCTGTCTCCTTGCCCTTGCTGACAGGAGTTACTGTGCCTTTAAAACAAATTCAGACAAAGAAAACCCACAAATGTGTCAGGTGCGCTTCCAGTTTAGAGCCTGGTATCTTAATTCAAGACACCCTTCCATCAGTCACTTAAGCTAAGAATAGTTTTGAAGTAGACTGGCTGAGGTGTGTGCATTAACCCTCTTCTTACAACCTGCAAGAGACAGAGCAACAGTTCCAGGCAGTAGCATCCTACACTGCTGCCACAAGATCCACCAGAGCTTGTTTATCAAAGCCCTAAGTGTTTCTAAATTTATTTTGTGTACTAATAAGTTGTATGAATCCTCAGTGCACCAAAACCAAATTATGCCAGATAAGCTACAAATGTAGTTTACTATCATTATTCCCACTGGAAACACCTCACTAGATGTGCCAGAGCAACACATGGTCTTCTGATACACAAGACTGCAGATCTCCAGTTAAATAATTACATACCATAATAAATAAATAAAAAAGAAAAAAAGAAATATACTTGCCTCTTGTTTAGTTACTTTTGCTGCATCCTTGCCTTCAGCACCCTCTGGAGACTGAAAGAAAATATTAAGCCAGTGTTTTTATTACAGACTTAAAAGCACCCACACAACAGCAAAAGAAACATCATGGTGAAGATTCTTCTTTGTATACATTGCAACAACTTAAAGAAGCCTGGCAAATTTACGTTAGCATTTACAAGCAGCACTGTACCAAGACCATTCTAGACTTTCCAAGCAGGAACACAAGGACTGATTATCACCTGGTACATACATATCATATCACACAGCATCCCTCAGCAGTCCCTCTAGTCAATTAACTAAAGTATCCACAGGCTCCAGTGGGAGCTTCATCTAATCAGCAGTTGGTAGCGCAACAGTATGAACTGGAAATCTGAGGTTTGCTCTACTAGGGCTTTTGAAATCCCTGGGAAATTTAACACATTTCTTCCAAAACATGAACTTAACTAGTAATGGGATGTGATGAGATGAACCAAAAAAGCACAGCATTACTGAAATGAGTGATTTCTTTACCTCATTTACTCCTTTTGTGCCTCAGGCTCACTCAGTTGGAAGCTTTAACAGTATCTTTCCCTTATCTCATCTCCTCCATCAGAACAGAAAAAAAAACAGTAAAACACCAAGACATTGACAAGAAAGCTAGGGACAAACATGTTTCTTCACAAGAACAAAGTATCAGCCTGACCATTCTAAGGCTGGTCTTCCAGAGGTACTAGAGAAACATTAGTTAAACCCCAGGGGGGGGGGAAGGGGGGAAGAAAAAAAAAAAAAAAAAAGCTTGTCTTTTGTTTACAACTCTAGACGTATTACACCACATTTTGAAAATTACTGAGTTTCCACCCAGATGCAAGCGATTCATGGAAAAACAGTGAGCAGCAGCAGTTAGAGGAGAACTACCTGAACGGCATGTGTCTCAAAAAGGCATTTAACCGGCAGCGGAGAAGGCAATTTGGTTGCTGTTTTGTTTTTCCATCAGTAAGGGAGCAGGCTAGTTATCTGTTCCTCTGTCTTTCCATTTCAGTCCTAACTCAAACCTCCCCCCAGATGTGACACTGAGCATCTCGGAGTTCTACAGTTATCCTGGAGCACAGAAAAAGACCAGCTAGCCTGCAGCAGTTGGCCACTGCCTGCTCCTGGCACTGGGCTCTAACATCCTTACAGAAAGACACCCCCCCACCAGGGAATAAAACGTGGCTTTGTTACCGAGCACCCTCCTGACAGAAAGAGCTCACGCCACAAAAGCAGCTGGCTTAAAAAAAAAAGCCGAGGACTGATCATCTAAGTAGCCAGAAAACAGCAGGAAGTAGAGCAGCACCGCGCAGCGTAGAGCAGCTCGGAATAGCAACAGTCAGGCATCCAAAATGGAGCCTGACGGTTCCCTGCGCTACGGCAGCCTCGCCAGCCGCCTGTAGGGCTGTTCCAGGTTTGCAGTGCGAAAAGCCTGTCAGTGTGCTTGCTGAAGAGTTGCTACAGCTCGATGGTGCGATGCTGGGAGCATCAAAAGCCATGAGGAAAACAGGAACAAGTAGTTCCATGGTCGCTGCCAGTACCAAAGTCTTATTTCCTACAACTTCCCTCTTCAGTTCATGACATGGTACAAGCTCTGGGTACAGCTTTTCTGTAGTCCATGAATTCATAACGTCTGTTTCTCCTATATGAATTTTCTCAAGTCTAACAAATTTGCACTGCACCCTTTCCCTGGGAGGGAACTCAAATCGCATCCTTCCTGTCCTGAGCACCTATTTATATGGAAGTTCTCTCAGATTTCATGATCTTTTCCTCATAGCGGCCAAAAGGCTCAAGATTTACAGGGGTAGGGACAGCAAGACGGCACGATTCATTTCCTTTGGAAGCCAAGCTAAAAAACTCACTGTAAACGAAATGAATCTGACTGACACTCCGCAATCGGGCTGGTTTACCCTTCTTCACTTTTAGGAACCACAAAGCTTTGGAACAGGGCTAAATCATCACAAGCCGGCACTGCCACATGCCAACAGCCTTGCAGTAATTGCCCAGGAGCAAACTCTCACCCTGCAATACTGCACAATTAACACACAGTAATTTACCCCATTCTCTTTAGCACTAGTGAATGTCTCTCATATTCCTGATAGACAGGACAGCCTGATTTTAGATGCCAATATTATTGCTTGCCAACGGATTTTAAAAACTACTCATGAAGCTAACCGCAGGGGGGGAAAAATATTAAAATACTCTTAATGCAACCAGCATATACTACTATGATATATTACATAACATACTTCAATAAAGTTAGCTAATTAGTCCAGCATTCCCTCTCAAGTTAGAAAATCCAACAGCAATTCTGAAGTCCACGTAACTTTCTCCATGGTGGGACATGCACGGTAATAATCTCAGAGGTGTAAATAAGCAGCAAGGGGTTCTGACACACTTGCTTCCATTTCAGATCTGCTCCCTCCTCTCTGCAAGTCCAGGCATTCGGAGGCTGTGTGCACCCTCCCAGGGCCTTGGCTCCCCAGTACGCTGGCAGAGCCGCGTGGGAGGCCATGTCATGAATAAGGCAATTGATCCAGCTGAAAAATAGCATGCTGCTTAAACAAATTTATAAATACCATAATATACATACAAATTATAAATATATAGTCTTCCTTGCTCCAGCAGAATCATTTTACTGCACAGCTGCACAAACAATTGAGCCAGTAGAACAGGCAAGAATGAAGTCTCACAGGGCAGTAGCAAGCAGCCTGGGACTTTTTAAGCTGACAGAGACAACAAAAAAAACCCCACAAGTTAAGATACAGCTACAGTATGTGTGTTAAAAGAGGAACAGAAACCTATTTACTTATTTTCCCCTCTACGAGTATTGCTTAGACATTCCTGTGAGTTCCAGCTGATATGGATCTTCATGCTAGTTTCTGCAGTACTTTCTCCTCTCCCTAAGGACCAGAGAGATTTGTACACGAATGGATTTGGGCCAAGCACAGTTCCCAAAAAACTTGGCATGCCACACGCAGTGACTGTCTGCACTAGTATCTGGAAGTCACAGGACTCCTATGTAGATACCACCAAAATGTTGAAGTCCTTGCCCCTAACTCTTCCACAGGAACCCTTCCCCATCTTTTGCACTGGTGACGAACTACTGAAGGAACTCTGGCTTCAAAGCAACCAAACGTACTCAGGAACCCATCCCCTTGGCACGTTTTTCCACATGACGTAATGCTCTGGCTCACTGTATTTCACATGACACCCCAGCAACATAAAAACGCACCCTGAATACTGTGCCTTACATCGTAAACCAGTCGGCAACGGGACTGTCCACACTGCAAGTTCTGTGCAGCAAAATCAAAGACCAATGTGAGCACTGAATCACTTGACAAGGGCAGTACTCCACCCTCAGTAATTCTTCAGCTGTACTCTGTCGTATGCCTGTATTACACTAATACAGTAGCCCCTGTGGGCCTGCTGTGCCTGATACTGTATGGACACCTACAAGAGACAAGACAGATAAACGAAAAAAGCAAATATGGACACAGATAATAATGATTTTTTTTTTTCCCCAATAACAGGTACACAGAAGGAAAGAAGCTGACTGGCTAACTCTAAATATGCTTTTGTCATTTAAACCAATAGCAAGTGTTAAGTTCAGATAACCACACATTGTGTCATACCTCAGTTAGCACTATATGTTGGTATAACATACAATAATAAAATAAGATGGTAAATTAAGCTGTAGCTAAGCTTTGTAAGATCTGTCAGAGCTGTGTAACTCATACCACAAGATTAACCTGGAAGGCTGCATGGAAGATTCCCTGCGTCTATCAGCAATTTGCTTTTTTTAATTTGCTTTTCCCCTACCCCTTTTTAAGAACAACCTAGAAAATTATTTTGAGACATACAACTGGAAAAAAAAACACGAATATAATAGAGAACATGAATAAAATGAATGGAATATTAAAATTGAGCTTGTTTGAATACACAGTTCTTGCATTTCACCAGCTGTGAAGCATACACAAGGACCGGTGTTTCCACACACCAAGACGATACTGTGGTATCTGCAATGTCAACACCGTTACAGAACTGTCAAGTTGAAAACAGAAAACTAGATAACTGTTTTAAGGAAACATTTAATAGAACATACAGGCAAACTTCCTTTTTTTCAATTGTTCTTAAAGCGGGGTTACCTGGCAGAGATGCACCACAAAAGAAACAGAAAGCTTCAATTTTTCTAATCAAAACCAAACCCTGCAATATAAGCAGGATGTAATGAGAGTACAGTAACACAAAGTAGAGAAGTTATTGATGTCTGTTTGAGAGATCCAAAAGTACATGTTTGAACTTGCAGTGACCAGCTTCTGGATAAATATTATAAAGGGGTACATTAAAAAGCATGAAGAATGAGAACACAAGTATGCCAGAAGTAACAGTCAGTACAGAAGTTTGCTTATAAAACGAAATAGATTGTTCATTCTCTGAAGGATCTTATTACTAGCTGAAACTCAACACCTCAGCTCTGATGGGACAGAAATGAGTCCTTTCATATCCACGTGAAAAAAAAAACAAAAACCAAAAACAAACAACAAAACAAAAAGCAGATGTCAATTTCATTCTAACTACCATGTTAAGAAGTTAGAAAGGCAGAAAGCTGTAACCATCCTAGCACTTGAGTATTCTCTACAGCGTCTCCTCCCATCTTTGGAAGCTGTTTTGTTCGGCCACATCTCAATACACTGTCTGCAACAGGATTTGCCTGTAGATACTTCCCTGGCTCACTGTTTTAGCTGCAATTTCCATGATGTAATGCTTTGGTCATTTCTCCAATAATTTTTTTCACCAACCAAAATATGATAAAAGCTTGCAACAAAACCCCAGTGCAAGAAAAGAAGACAGACATATCAAGTCTTAAGCCTTTTTCAGGGTTTACCGCACTGTTTTCCTAAATTTTTTCCTCCTCTCATTTCCCTGAGTAGAACTCTGCATTAAACTAAACTTCATTCAATGAATTGTTTCCCCATATATGTTGAGATTTTCTAATTATGCCTTCAGAGTTCCGAATTTTGTGCCAGTTCATAAACGTAATTAAAATGCTGCTTATTTCTTGGTTTAGATTAATGAAGACCATGTGTTGACTAATGTAACACCTACCAACTCCTGCAACACCCTTCTAATCATTGTTTCCTCATTTAGCTCCTCCAGTTATTGTTAACCTTTGTTTATAGCTAGTTCTTTGATCTGTTTTCAACAGTAGAACAGTGTTCACTGCCAAGACAATGTGAATGAACTCTGCAAATAAAATTAATTCTCCCTAATAAATGCTTTAAGAAATCAGGTATTCTTCCTACTACATCCCTTCATTTCTTTTTTCTATCAAGAGCCTGATCCCAGAAAGGGGGGGAAGTTGCATCCCACTAATTTAAACAGCAAGTAATTCTGCCAGAACCACAAGTGAAGTACAAAATAAATCTGGTTAGTGACTAGACTTTTTAAACATTCAAAATGATATCTGCCTTACTCTCTTCCAACAAATCTGAGGGTTTTTTTTATATATATATATATACACACACACACATACTGTATATATATGTACATAAATTCTTCACTAAAAAAAAAATCAAAACAAAAACTAGAAAAAACCCACTCTGCTTAAATATTTATTCTTTAAGTACATAATATTTTAATCTTTTCTGTTAAGAAGTATTATAACGAAATATTATACAGTATTTCATTTTTAGAATTTAAATCCCTCCATCTTAATAGATACTAGGAGCAGAATATTTAATTTTCTAATTCTTTGGAGGAGAACATCAAGATCATAAAGTTCTGAAAAGACAAACAGTACTTAAAAGTTTAACTATAAAGATCACCATTAATATCCCCTGGTATTTACATGCATTCAGAGGAGGTGGGGGAAAAACCAGGGAAAACACCTCCTGACCAAAGCCTCCATTCTGGCTTAGAGAGTCAAGGCAAACAGTGACTGGTTAACATCCATTGCATTTTCAAAGAATATATGAGAAAATAAGAACACAAACAGCCTGGTTATAAACAAAATCAGTAGGTTCAGAAAACATATTTTATTAAATTTCTTCATCCTTAACAGGTAACTTCTGTGAGCTTTATGCTCATGCAGGCAAGACAGAAGAGACAAAAAACAAGTTAGGCCTGGGGTATTTCTAAATATCCCAAACCAGTCAGAATAAATGCTCTTCCAAAAGAGGAAAGCCCTTCGCTGTAGATTGAGGTTTTGCTGTTCTCACTGAAAAGAGGTCAATGATTGACCAATATAATTTAAAATGCATTTAAATTTGAAGGGACATTTTAAAAGTCTCACAACTGGTTTGGCTTTTATTTTTCCTTCCAAGTTTGTCTTCCCTATAGTCAGTTTTTTGAATATGACATCTTCCTATCTACCTATAGCAGAGTGAAGACGTAAGAGCAGTTTCTAGAGGCTCAGATTTAAAAAAACAGCATTGTAATTTAAAATCAGACAGACAGTTCCTTTTTCAGACAGTGAAGTAATCAGCTGCATTTTGAAAAATACAGATCAGACATGGGAGCAATG